TCCAGTTTATTAACGGCCCTCGGGCCACCGAACCCCGCCGGTCTTCCTCGGGCGTAACTGTGCATCGTCCCGCCTACTTGGGCGACGCAACGTCCGAACCCCGCCCAGACGGCATTCCATAAAGGAGCATCGATCCGGCCTCTACCGCGATCGGCAACGTCTAGAACCCCGCCTAGACGGCATCCGAACCCCCGCCGGGCATCAGTCTAGAACCCCGCCTAGACGGGGCATCCGAACCCCCGTCGGCATCGTCCTAGAACCCCGCCTAGACGGAACGCGGGTCATGACCATGCACACACCTCAGCAATCATTATCAATTTTTATCTTTGTAAATTAGCCCAATGTCAACTAAATCCGTCAAAACGCCACGATAATACCGAATGATTCTCGAGAGAGAGAAAAACCGAAAATATACAAAACCGGGTCCAAACTGAGCAGTTGTGCAGTGAACGAAATCCAATTAAAATAAATAGTAAATCAACTCCAAAAATTCTAAATTTTGGATATGTCGTATAAAACATCTTGATAAACATTTTCCGTGAAGAACTCGAAATCCAGTTCCAACTGTAAACACCTCTTTTTGTCACTTGAATTCAGACGAAATTCAACCCGTCCGATCAGGCCGCCTGACCATAAAAATGCCCCTCATCCAGTACCCAAATCACTTTGGAAAGTCTTGAAATTTTTATATGTTATAGCCACAAATGTCCCCAACAATTTTTGTGAAGGAAGTATTTTGAAAATAGGTCTGGAAAAATTTATAAAAATTCGAATAGACCCGAAGGTCTGAGGAACAGTGTTTCCGGCAGACTTATTTCGGTCCAAAGATAGACTTCCGAATGGCCTCACATGACTTCCAAAAATTCCCAAATTAAATTATGCCAAACGTCAAGATGTTATGAACAACTTTCATGAAGAACACTTCCTCAAATTCGGCCCACACAAGTCACATTAAAAATAGAAAAATCCAGCGATGCAGCAGCAACCCTATCGGAAATCAATCAACAAACACCACCAAGCAAACCAAGCACAACCAGCCACTAAACCAACTATCCACAGCCTCTAATCCATCCCTAACATGTCCATTAGTCACCCCTTAGCCTAGTCAAGGGTTAGGAAGCCACTTACAAGAGAGCCTAAGCTAGAAAACCGAGCAAAGAGGCAGCTCAGTCATGGCAAAGCAGCAGCAGCGACGCCGGAGCAATGAAAGAGCTGGCTCAAGTGACAGGCGGCGGCTCACGGCGAAGTCGGACGGAGACGGGGCTGAACGGTGGTGCTGGCTCATGAGTCAGTAGGGTGTGAAACCGAGAGGAAAGAAGAAGAGCAAGGAAGCAGAAACCGAAGAAGAAGAAGCACCAAGGTGAAGAAGAAGCAACAGGCAGAGCGCAGTGAAATGAAGGGACGGCAGCAGCAACGTGGGGCAAGATTGGGGGTCGACGAAGGGGGGAAAGGTAGGCGTAGCATGGGTGACTCAATGATGATGGCTGGTGGAGTTGGTGGGGATTGGTCACCGCAGAATGATGCAAGAACGAAGCAAAAAACAGTATAAAAAGCCCAAGCAAAGCACGTGAAGGACATGGGGGAGCGAGAGGAAAGTCGACATGGTCAGCCAAAGCGAGAAAGTAAGCGTGGGGTGTTCGCGAGAAAGGAGGAGGAAGTCAGCTGGGAAGAAGGAGAGGAGAGAGAGAGAGAGGACCAAAGTCAACATACCAATCAAGTGCAATCCAAGGGCTCACAATTGGTCTTGTTGGGCAAGCTAGATCCAAGGGCCACGAAATTCCGAATTTCAAAATCAAAGAAAAGACTAGATAGACACTAAATAAAATAAACCAAGAGAGAGGTATACTCCATCTAAATCCGCACCCTGGTCCAAATTTCACTTTCCGACAAATCAGTGCAATCTCGTGGTTGGCCACGCTTATGTGACGTCAGTCCAAATAAATTAGTCGTGACACTTCGATAAATTCGCCATCCAAGTTCGGATTTAAATGACGGTCAATTTCACTCAAATGCGACTTTAGTGTATCTCTAACTAACGACTGGGGCTTTTTAGGGCTTACGCGTATCGACCTATAATACTTAAGTCACAGCGACCTCGATCGTCACCGAAGGTCGACTCATGGTCGAGTTCTTAGGTCCACGTACATTTCCTAGGTAGCCATTCCCTAAAGATTAGTATCCCGAGAATGATCATTTCCAAAGTAGATTTAACTACAAGTGCATTGAAGAATATACACATTTCATTTATCCTAAAAGTGGATCGAAATTCAACCGTGTCCACACGTGACTTGCTTAGGTCTCGCTTGACTACGCCTTCATGCCATCCTTGGTCGTGAAGACTTGGTGCAAACTCCACGCTGCAACTTGGCTCCTCACCAGGAGCGAGCTCGACCCCAACCAGTCCAAGCTTCATCGCCGCGGCTCCATATCACTGCTGTACGTCAGCCACTGGGTTTTGCTCGCTGTCCACATCGTTGGAAGTCCTGCAAGTTTTGTTGCTATTCACTGAGGCAATCTCCTTCCGTCGCTGTTGTAGTGGCGGTCTGCACTCCACACCAACGTTTCCGATTTCTAATGAGCCAAGCAGCTTCGGCATCGGCCCCCGTTGTATCCAGTCGTGGACAACGAATCATAGCAGCAAACGATCACCGGTCGTCGTCCTTGTCATGCTCGAATTACTCTGTTTTGCAGGTTCCTTGGCGTGCCCTATCTTGTAAAAATCCAACTTTGCTGTGAGCGAGAAAAAGGGGCTGATCTTTGGTCAAGGTCATAAGTCCAAGTGGTGGATTGGTTTTCTCTCGGATATTTGCCCAGATTTGACAATAATGTTGCGGGTCTTTGTGATTTTACTTCATGCATGCATAAGAATATTCTTTTTGATGAGGAGACCGTGAGGAGTTGTGGGCATGTGGCAGCGTGCAAACCCTTCAGAAGAATAATGGACAACGTCGAGCTTGGTGATTTGTCCTTGCAGGTCCCGACGCCCACATCCTCAAGTCGCGAGCTTCACCGCTTCAAGTCACGAGCCCCACTGAGACCATTGCTGGCCTTGAACCGAGAATCCTTGGCTGAGACAGCATCACGGTCAGTCATCCTATACCTCGGATGACCACTGAGAAGCCACCCCGAGCATCCACTGCTGAGGGCCACCACCGCCGGTCATTGAGCTCGACCCTTCCACCGTTCAAATTCAGAAACATCATCTGTACAATATTTCGAATTAGGTGATACGTTATCCGATTCAATTTTGATATATCAAGTTCTCTAATTTGAGTTTATTGTGATCTCAATTATATGTTGTATCAATATTGTCATATATCCAAAAGTCTTTTCGAAATCCATGAATTGGGATATTTTCCTAATTTCACAACGTGCATATGATCGCCAGTCCGATTTCATGCCCAAAATACTTCTCACGATCACATAGAAAAACGTTTATCCAATCTCCTACTCGACATATGATTCGCAATTGCATGGAAAATTGGTCGTAAATCGGATCTCATGCCCAAGATACAATTCGTCTTTGCACAGAAAATTGGCCAATCCGATCCTCATGCCTGGGATACGATCTGTCGAGTTATTTTTCAAATTTAAGTGAATATGGATAATATCTTGGGTGATTGGATGCTATCATTGATTTTGGTTTGATTCGATTCGATTCTATGTTTCCAAAAAAAAAATCCCAAAAGGATTAGATAGGATTAAGGTAACTTTTAATAGATAACATTGCATATTTAAATAGATTTTAGATAATCTTTCAAAACAAATTAGAATATAGGTTAGAATCTTTCCTTTCGAGATAGATCACATTCTAGGTTAGGGTTTATTTAGTCAAGATAACATTCCAATTTAAATTAGGGTTTGCCCTAGTTTAATTCCTAAAATGAATTGGATAATATCTTAATCTAGGTAATTTATTTTCATTATTTTCAAATTACAAATTTTAATAAAAAAATCACAAAAAAAAACCATGTGCGTGTTATATAGTTTAGATTGCATCATGCTTGCATGTCATCTTGCCATTTCATTCGTAACTTGCCATGTGTCATTGCTTGCATGTCATTTAGTGATTGTATGTTAGGTTCGTGAAATTGTGTGTCATATTAGAATAATGATTTTCGTCCGTCATTAGAATTAGGTCACGTAGTTAAACATTTGCCCGTCATATTCGAATAGTCCATTTAATCGTCAATAAAATTAGGACATTTAGGTAAATTGTATGTCATGTGTCATGTTAAACTACCAGCATGCATTGCATATAGTTTGGTCTTCACTAAATAAGAAAAAAACTACATAAAAAAAAAGATTTGAGTGAAATTGTGTGTTAATCAGAAATCATATTTAGGGTGATGATGTGATTTTTAGCTAACATTACATATGCTTTCGTCGCTTCGAGGTAAGTGTACCCTCCCTATCTTGCAATGTATTTATTGTTTTGATTATTGGGTATTACACTAATGGTTGCGTACCCGTATGATTACTTCACATGTTAGTAGACCTATCAAATGGGTCCAGAACCCATTTATGAATCCACGTTTGTTTAAATGGATCGCTAATGGGTCATTCTTTTTTTTTTTCAGATCAGCCTTAATGGGTTTCAAACAAAAGAAGGCCAAAATATATGGGTTTTAAATGGGTATATTCTGAACCCATTTACGACCCATTTAATAACCCGTTATGGAAAGCCTGGCTCATGTTCTCCCTCTTGCTTCATGCTTCACGATCTTCTCTCCGTCTCCTTCGCCGATTGCTTCCGCGAATCTAATTCCCAGCCACCTCCGCCGCTATCACCGACTTCGCGCCGCCCATCTCCGGTGCGCCACCCATCTCCGTCATAGCCGAGGTTCTCCGACGACTCAATATCGCCCGTCTTGCACTCCGTGCAAACCCTAAACTCCGTTTCTTGCGGCTAAATCTCTTCGATCGCCACTAAATTCCTGAGGACCATATGAGCCTACGACTCCGCCACCACTGCCTCGACTCCCGCCGTCGCAAGCGCCTCCGATGACGATCGAGTACTTGGTCTTCGTCTCGTTTGCCTTGACGAATCGAGTCTCATAGCTCGAAGGGAGGCCGATAAGCGCGTACGTGCCGAGCTTCTTGTACTCGGCGGGGCTCGAAGGGACTAGCGTTTTTGTCTCCGGGTATTGGGTTTTCTCTATTTGCTTACTTTTTTTGTCAAGTTTGCCTACAATTTTGTTTTCGAGGGTGTTTGGGTTCGTGCTGGGGAATTGGTGTTTTGTTGACTAATCTTTTCTCTCTTTTTGTGTGGGGGTTGCTGGGTTTCTAGGTTCACCAGTTGGTGGTCAATAGAGATCCCAAGTTCACCAATTTTGTCGAGGTGAGAATGTTCGATTTTTTTCCGTACAGTTGCTTTCTTTTGCTTCGCCGATCCTTGAATTCTGTCGGCTCTTTTGTGCGAATGCGCCATGAGCTCGGTGTTATGTGGGTCATTCCCATTGATTGGCGTGGTCACAGCGATTTGACTGAAGAAGAGAAGTCAAGAGTTTGGGAACACGAAAGGAGGAAAGTAGAAAAGAAACCGAGGGAGAGGAGAAATAAAAGAAGCCCATAGAAAGATGAGCACTGAACTTCTAGTGACTCAGGTTTTCTCCACTGAAACCATCATAGTCAATGAGGGGTCCTTATAGATTGAGCGCGCCCGATCACTGATTGGTTTATGAAAATGCGACCAAAGTGATCCATCACATGAAAGAGTGGTTCGCAAACAAGAGTGCTTCTTCGCTCAGCCGCTCTAGTTCTAATCATCCCTGCTTGTCTATTCTTTCTTAAGCCATCAGAAATATTATCTCTTTTTCCTGGCTGCATCTATTCCATGTGTGAGTTTCTTTATGGCATTGTTGAATCAATAACAAATCCAGATGGGACAGGTTCACTTTGGATTATCCTCGGAGAGGTTTGTGGTACATGTTTTTGTGCAGTAAACTTTAGGAAATACCTCTATTCTGTTTAAGGATGTACGAGGAGGAATTCGTTCTCCATTTGATAGCCAAATATCCAACTGTTATTGTACAGTGAACTACGTTTCTGATTCCATTGTCTTGAATTTACAATATCACTTTTAAGTGTCTTTTCGGGTGCTCAAAAGTTTCATGTTTGCTAGCTGCACATGAAGGTCTAATTGAGATTTTCAATTGCAGTTTCGAACGCACAAGGTTATTTACGGGCGATATGCTGGATTGCTTTTCTCGCTCTGTGTTGACATAACAGATAACGAGCTTGCATACTTGGAGTGCATTCACTTATTTGTAGAGATTTTGGATCACTTCTTCAGCAATGTCTGTGAACTAGACTTGGTATTTAATTTTCATAAGGTTTGTCCATAACCATCAGCTCTACTTATGTCTGAATGTGCTTCTTTATCACATCTTACAATTGTATGCTACATTATTATATGAAATTAGTTGTTAGATCTTGTTTGCCTGTCTATTTCTATTGGTGCTGCTGTCTAAATATGTGAGTAGAGCTGGACCTTAGAAATATGCTCTCCCGTATATTTTTTACGTATATCTTTCTTCTCCGATTGTTGGTAGACTGGGTTTCTGGATTTTCTGGAAAACCTCCATTGGATGAGCTATTTTTTCGTAGTTTTCTTTAGTTTTAAATGTTCCTCTCTTATTTGACTTTACACCGAAAGTCTCATTTGTTGTTGCATCCACTCACTGTCTTAATGTTCCTCCATAAGGTTGCTGTTTGTTTGGAGCTTTTTGTATAGTCTTGTAGGATGGGCAGCTGGATGCTGCAATTTTTTGATGGATAGTGGAGACTTGGGCTTTGGGGTTTAAAATTCCAAGTGACTCATTATTAATTTGATTAACATTTCCATGTATGAACTCAGTCTTTACCCCTTATGTTGAACTCATAACGTGCAATCATGAACTTGTTATAATTTATGTTTTCTCTGACTAATTAGCTGAAATGTCAAGAGCTAACGAGGATCGAGAAGAATATTCAACTACCGAACAATTCGAAAGACGTAGAATTGCATCCTTAGTTCATGAGGATGAGGAAGATAACTCTACTTGCTCTAAGCGCTCAAGAAAATGTACTTTGATTGTATGGTCTGAATTTGAAAAATACACGGATGTTGATGGCATGAGAAAGGCTAAATGTAAGTGGTGCGAAGTAACTTACATGGCTAGCCATGGGACAAAAAACTTGTTGCGTCATTTAGATAATTGTCCCAATCGCGAGGTCAATGTTGATGATTCCACAGTACAATTCAACCAAGCTGTTTTTAGAGACATGCTAGCAAGAGCAATAATCAAACACAATTATACCTACTCTTTTGTAGAGCATGAAGCTACTAGAGAGTTGTTTAGTTACCTCAACCGTAATGTGAAGCACGTATCAAGGAATATAGCAAGAAGTGATGTGATCAAAGTTTATGAGAAAGAGAAGGGAAATTTGAAATCCAACTTAGTGTCTCTTTTGAGCCATATATGTTTGACTTCTGATCTATGGACTTCTGTCACTATTGATCATTATATGACGGTCACTGCCTATTACATCGATGAGGATTGGGAATTGCATTCAAAAGTCTTGTGTTTCTCCTATGTGCCGCCCCCGTATAGTGGTGCCATTCTTTTGGAAAAATTGCTGACTTTGTTAAGAGATTGGGGTATTGAGAGGAAGATTTTCAGCATTACATTAGATAATGCATCATACAATGACAATATGGTTGATATTTGGAAAAATACACCCTCTGTGAGATCCTCTTTGTTATGTGATGGACAATTTTTTCATGTGCGTTTTGGTGCACACGTTTTGAATCTCATTGTACAGGAAGGTCTAAAGGTTATTGATGGATCATTACATAATATTAGAGAATCTGTCAAGTATGTGAGAGCTACACAAGGGAGGAGAGTAAAATTTGCCGAATGTATAGCACAATCGTGCTTGAAGACAAGTAAAAAGGTACGTCAAGATGTGGCTACTAGATGGAACTCTACGTACCAAATGCTTGAAGGTGCACTTTTCTTTGAATGTGCATTTTCACATTTGAAGTTAATTGATTGTAACTTTGTCACATGTCCATCATCTGAAGATTGGGTCAGAGCAAAGAAAATTGCATTCTTGTTGAAACCCTTTTATGATATTTCTACTCTCTTCTCTGGAGTTAGATATCCCACGGCGAATTTATATTTTTATGGAGTATGGCGGATTCAATTTCGTTTGATACAAGCAAGGGATGCTGAGGATGAAGCTATTAGTTTTATGGCTATTACAATGCTCAAAAAGTTTGAAAATTATTGGAAGTGTTATAGCGTTGTGTTATCTTTTGCAGCTATATTAGATCCTCGCTATAAGCTACACTTGTTAGAGTTTTGCTATTCGAAGTTGGACATGGATGATCATGTGGAATTTGTACGGAGCATTCGAGAAAAGCTGTATATGCTTTTTGATGAATATGTGACCTCTATGTCTAGAGATGATCACTTTACTTCTTCAACTAGTCGAGGTAACATTTCAATTGAGGACATTAGGAACATTGGGGACGACATTGATGAGTATGATTTATTTGAGAGTGAACATTTTGGATCGCAATCTACTAAGTCACAGTTGGATTTGTATTTGGAGGAGAATAGGCTTGATAGAAAGAAGCACGCGGATCTCAATGTACTTGATTATTGGAAGACTCATTCTCATCGGTATCCCGAGTTGTCTCTCATGGCACGCGATATATTGAGCATTCCTATCACTACCGTTGCCTCAGAGTCAGCCTTTAGCATTGGAGGACGCATTTTAAATAAATATCGTAGTTCCCTTTCGCCTGAAAGCGTAGAGGCTGAGCTGTGCACTAGAGATTGGTTATTTGGAGTTCCGCCTGAGGAAGAATTGGATGAGGAGTCTCTCATCGTCGACTTTCAAGACTATTTGCATTAGGTACTTTTTTCATCTCATTCTTTTGGTTTACTCATATGATTTAATGCACTTGTCTTCATAATGATGTATTCTTGGTATACTTGGTGGTGCTATGACTTATAATCAGAGTCAATGCTTTTCTTTTTCAGGTTCTAGACTAGGTGTTTGGTCATAATGAGGAGGTACATGAAAAGCTATACTTTTCCAAAAGATTCTTGCATGCAGATTGGTTCAAGAAAGGAGTTGCATCTTGATTTTCTCATGGTTCCTTTTTCATATTCACGATTTGTGATTCTGATTTCTAAATGCTGGCAAGGGAGGTAAACTCACTCATGATGAGACCGCAATCATTGGTGGAGCTCTAGATTTGACTGAGTAGGTTTAGAGCTACTAAATCTAGACATTTTATTTTCTTCTTCATGTAAATCATAAATTCTTGCTTGGCTAGATTATTTCTTTACCTCCTCTGTTGGGTGAGAATCTTTGTTTCTATCTGTACTACAACAGCTAACATTGTAGACATTGTGACACCTTTCTGATATTTGATTGATCATTGCAAAACTTGCATAGTCTGTCACCATGGTGGCCATAATCTAGCAGTGGATGAAGGATTCAAGAATGCCTTCACACCAGGAGGAGGAAGAGGTGCGGCGGGAGAACAAGTGGGTATTTAAATATGTCTTTATGTCTCCTCTTGAACCAATAAAGATGATTTGTGTTTATTTTTCTGTGTCAGTCTTTTAGTTGTCGAAATATCCAATTCCCTTTCAATGTTACTAAAATTCAGAACCTCGGCCACTAGAGAAGGGCGGCGTGAAGTCGGCAATAGCGGCGGAGGTGGCTGCGAATTAGATTCATCGAAGCGATAAGCGAAGAAGAGGGAGAGAAGATTGTGAAGTGAGATCATGAGCCGGGCTTTTATTGAAAAGAAATTGGATTGTAAATGGGTTCAGAATATACTCATTTAAGACCCATATATTTTGGCCTTCTTATTTTTAAAACCCATTATGGCTGATTTGAAAAAAAGGAATGACCTATTATCGACCCATTTAAGCAAACATGAGTGGATTTTGAACCCATTTGATAGGTCTATAATGTATATGCTTTTGAACCTAGAACCTGATTTTATGAATTTATTATTATAATTATTGACTTTATTATTTTATATTTGTGCACTTCTTTATGGGTACTAGAATTATATAATCGGTAATTAAAATTAAAAAATATTGTATCAAATAATGTATTATTAAACGGGTGTTATCCGACTAAAAAAAACAACAAGTGTTAATTTTTTAAGATCTCATTTATATTTAATTCAAAACTAAAACTCAAATCCATTTCAGGATTTGTGAAAAAAAAAAAGAAAGAAAGAAAAAGAAAAAATTTTAAAAATTAATTTTTAAAATTATAAAAATTGTCCACAAATTAGCAATATAATTTTTTTAAATCATAAAAAATTATATTGAGTTAAATATGGAAGTGTTTTAGCAATACGGGTTGGGTCGGGTCGGGTATGGGTCAAGAAAGTTGCATTGCGCATAAATGAGTCATAAACGGGTTAATGGTTCACTTTGGGTCGGACCATTTATGACCCGACCCAAACCCGACCCGACCCACCCATTTGACAGGTCTACATGTTAGTGAATATGTTAAAAATCAATTCAAGCTGTATGCAAACATTTTTTTTTATATAAAAGAGAAAGGTATCGAAAGGGCGTTAGAGTAATCTAGTGTAGCAAGTCCCTGAATCCATAATATGTGGTTCATAAAAATAGAGTAATCCTCTCGATACTTTACTTGGGTTTCCAATCGACCCACCCAAAATAGATTATTGGCGACTCCTAATTGAAATGTTCTTGCATGTTAAGAACTTGAACCTAAGTTGCGAATTACTAAGGGCTTGGGAGAGTCCGAGCTAAGTCTAGGCTTACTAATCCATTAGCCAAACTCTAGGTGGTGCACCCGAGGTAAGATTGCGACAAGCAATTTCCTATTGCAACTAGAAAATTCGAGAGGTATTATTTTCATCTCCATACATGTCTTTAAGAGAATTCAATAGAGATTGTGCCGTATTAGAGTAAACGAAAATTTCTTACATCTATGGATCCATGCAGTTGAATATCCATGACATGACCAAGTTATCAGTAGATTGTCATTCGGCATATTTAAGATCGGTGGATGATGGGGCTTTGATTGAACCATTAACATGGCCTAACTTAGATCGTCCTCCAAGGGCAACCGTAATTACCCGAGACTAAAAAATTTAGTTTCTTTCATTTAAAAAAAAAGGATGTTAATCTATTGCTCATCTCATTTGAGCTAGATCAACTAACATAAGCGGTAATGGAAGAACTAGCCATTATAACAAGAAGAAAGGAGATGATCAAGAGCTCATCTAAATCATAAGTAGAATGAAGCGGCAAATAGCGACTTCGATAGCATTGACACCAGCTCTAATACCCTGTGAGATTTTGTGAGACAACCGCCAACTTTTCTAAAAGTTTTTTAAAGCTATTGGATTTAACGCCTATTTTAATATTTAAATATTTTATCTCTCCCCCTCATACTTAGTCTAGTATTTGTCCTTAGTACTAGGCGTGCACATATTTAATTGGGGAGGCAAATGGAACCAGGAAAGATTTGAACTCAGGACCTCCTACTTTGGTATCATGTTTTATTTGTAATCACACACACACTAAGAAAGAGAAAAGGATTTAATGTGGTTTGGTCGACCAAGAAGACGAACCTTGGAAGCCTACGTCCACGATGGGAACCCCTAATATAGCATATCTCCTTGGGGGATTTCATTTTCTTTAAATAAGATAGAATACATCTCTTGGAATCAACATGGATATCTATTGGAAAGGCAAATACATATTTTATTTCCTTCTTTATCGATTTGAGCCAGATCTCCTACTAAATTTAGACTCTGCTGACTAGTCATCCTTATCTTTCTAGTATAGTCAAGACAAAATCCTATGAATGGGGTTACCATAAATGTTCATGATGGACATAGAATGTTCATTACAAATTACATCAAAAGGTTCGACACCAAACGTCACTAATTATCATAACACTTCGTAACAATGAAATCCCTAAGCCAATTCACATTTGTCCTTTTCCTGTCACTTTCCTTCATATCCTCCCTTCCACCCTCACAGGCCAACAAGTTTACCAACTTCCTAGGTGAAATATACGACAACCGCCATATCTACATCATCAACAACTTGCCGAGTGACTTCATTCTCCATTGCATATCTTCGGATGACGATCTTGGTGCCCGGGCCCTACACCCGACTCAAGAGCAAATGATCCGTTTTCGGATTCACTTTATCAACAACACCATCTTCGCCTGCTCTGTTGTCACTACTCGAACCCCAACGAGCGTGCGACACCCTTAAGTTGGTCGAATTGAATGCGACATCCCGGCCTGCGCCGACCCAACCCCAAATCATCGTAGATCAAACACAAGCGGAAACAAGTATAACACCCGGACAAGAATTAGAAGAGGGGTAACAGGGAGAACAACCACATAACCAAACGAACAACTTTCAATAACACGAGACATACATACAATATCCATTCTTACAAAACAGACTAGGCTTACAAGGTTAGCAACCACTATTATCAAAAAGGGGCAAGTGGTTTGGGTAGGTTAACTTCTATACCAAAAAGGAGCATTCTCAAAATGGTTCTAATAACTAGCCCTTACTAACCCCTACGAGACGTAGAAGGTGTCCACTGGGGTCGGCCCTCCTAGAATCGGTGTCAGGCTCCCCCAGATCCACCCATTCATCAACTGACTTGGAGTCAGCCTCAATCTCAACTAGGTTATCCTCGGATCCTAATTGAAATGTTCTTGCATGTTAAGAACTTGAACCTAAGTTGCGAATTACTAAGGGCTTGGGAGAGTCCGAGCTAAGTCTAGGCTTACTAATCCATTAGCCAAACTCTAGGTGGTGCACCCGAGGTAAGATCGCGACAAGCAATTTCCTATTGCAACTAGAAAATTCGAGAGGTATTATTTTCATCGCCATACATGTCTTTAAGAGAATTCAATAAAGATTGTGCCGTATTAGAGTAAACGAAAATTTCTTACATCTATGGATCCATGCAGTTGAATATCCATGACATGACCAAGTTATCAGTAGATTGTCATTCGGCATATTTAAGATCGGTGGATGATGGGGCTTTGATTGAACCATTAACATGGCCTAACTTAGATCGTCCTCCAAGGGCAACCGTAATTACCCGAGACTAAGGAATTTAGTTTCTTTCATTAAAAAAAAAGGGATGTTAATCTATTGCTCATCTCATTTGAGCTAGATCAACTAACATAAGCGGTAATTGAAGAACTAGCCATTATAACAAGAAGAAAGGAGATGATCAAGAGCTCATCTAAATCATAAGTAGAATGAAGCGGCAATTAGCGACTTCGATAGCACTGACACCAGCTCTAATACCCTGTGAGATTTTGTGAGACAACTGCCAACTTTTCTAAAAGTTTAAGCTATTAGATGAATGCCTAATTTAATATTTAAATATTTTATCTCTCCCCCTCATACTTAATCTAGTATTTGTCCTTAGTACTAGGTGTGCACATATTTAATTGGGGAGGTAAATGGAACCAAGAAAGATTTGAACTCAGAACCTCCTACTTTGGTATCATGTTTTATTTGTAATCACACACACACGAAGAAAGAGAAAAGGATTTAATGTGGTTTGGTCGACCAAGAAGACGAACCTTGGAAGCCTACGTCCATGATGGGAACCCCTAATATAGCATATCTCCTTGGGGGATTTCATTTTCTTTAAATAAGATAGAATACATCTCTTGGAATAAACATGGATATCTATTGGAAAGGCAAATACATATTTTATTTCCTTGTTTATCGATTTGAGCCAGATCTCCTTCTAAATTTAGACTATGCTGACTAGTCATCCTTATCTTTCTAGTATAGTCAAGACAAAATCCTATGAATGGGGTTACCATAAATGTTCATGATGGACATAGAATGTTCATTACAAATTACATCAAAAGGTTCTACACCAAACGTCACTAATTATCATAACACTTCGTAACAATGAAATCCCTAAGCCAATTCATGTTTGTCCTTTTCCTGTCACTTTCCTTCATATCCTCTCTTCCACCCTCACAGGCCAACAAGTTTACCAACTTCCTAGGTGAAATATACGACAAGCGCCATATCTACATCGTCAACAACTTGCCGAGCGACTTCATTCTCCATTGCATATCTTCGGATGACGATCTTGGTGCCCGGACCCTACACCCGACTCAAGAGCAAATGATCCGTTTTCGGATTCACTTTATCAACAACACCATCTTCGCCTGCTCTGTTGTCACTACTCGAACCCCAACGAGCGCGCGACACCCTTAAGTTGGTCGAATTGAATGCGACATCCTAGGCTCGTCGCCGACCCAACCCCAAATCATCAGAGATCAAACACAAGCGGAAACAAGTATAACACCCGGACAAGAATTAGAAGAGGGGTAACAGGGAGAACAACCACATAACCAAACGAACAACTTTCAATAACACGAGACATACATACAATATTCATTCTTACAAAACAGACCAGGCTTACAAGGTTAGCAACCACTATCATCAAAAAAGGGGCAAGTGGTTTGGGTAGGTTAACTTCTATACCAAAAAGGGAGCATTCTCAAAAATGGTTCTAATAACTAGCCCTTACTAACCCCTACGAGACGTAGAAGGTGTCCACTCGGGGTCAGTCCTCCTAGAATCGGTGTCAGGCTCCCCCG